CCATAAGATCAAAACACATAAATGTAGGTTATGTTCAATTTCTAAATCAGAGTGTTGTGGACAGATGTTTGAAATCTTAAAATGACTCATTCATTTGTTGCATGGCTCCTTGCCCAAATGAACTGTACTGTAGAGTGCATCGTTTCTGTATCTCAGATATGTTGCAACAATGATGACATACAATATATAAATGTTATAAAAGGTTGTTGTTAATCACTCATATTCTGCCCTATAGTTACATTCATACAAATCTGAACAATCAAATTTACCACTGATGTTATCTCTGTAGACCTCAGCAGAATTACATCAGAGACAAATTTTACCCGATAAGATTGCTCAGTGCAGAATTTGGCCCAGTGACTTTTGCCCTTGATCTATATTTATTGCAATACCAAACAGTACAGGATGGGGGGACTCCAAATAATCAGCCATCTTTATTTGACACAATGTATCTCTTTTTTAAATGGCAGCGCTTTTTTTATGTGTACATTGTACCTGATCATCCGGTCCTTGTTCATGTAAAATTTCTGTGGGAATTTTGTTTGAATAAGGACTGGTTGGGGATTTTCCTGATTTTGTTGAGCTGAGGTGTTTTTTGGGGGGGGGAGGAGGGAGATAATTATTTTAATCAAAGAAAACAAAATTTTCTCTGACACATTGTTCAGCATTGTAGGTTTATGTAGCTCTTTCTTTAGGGCCTGATCCAAACCTCATTAATTATGTTACTTGAAAGAATCCGATTGTTTGCAATGGATTTTTGCAGCAGACCTATCTATGTTAAGGTAAAGAATTTTTTACAGCATTTTTCATTTCTGTACATTTTTTGATAATATACAGGCTGTTCTGTTTTTTTTTATTATTATAATTGAAATCTAATAAGCCTGCTCACGAAACATGCTTCCTAGTAAAAGAGGAAAAATCTTCAGATCAAGTCTGTTTCTTTTGTAATGCAACCATGAAACCTTTAATCAGTGACACATTTTAGCTAAGTTTCTCTGGGGTTGCCTTCGTGTTTATAAATTAACTATTTTGATTCTCCTTTAATACTTCTTACTACCCTTCATGTGACTTGTTCAAAGCAGTGTCTGTCTGGGGTGTTGCAGCAGTACAGATTCAGACAGTACTGTTCGGAGAAGGAAGTGGAGAGTTTTGGTTCCCATTTTGCGCTTCTGGAACAGTTTAGGGAAGGAAGCACCTTTACACCTTTTATTGTTCGTGGTTGCTGACATCATATCCTTCCCTGACCACTCTGTGCGTGTTTCCTGCCATTCTATCAAGATTCTTCTGTGTTGCAGAGAGGGAGGGGGAGAGTTTTTGTGTGTGTATGAGGGAGACAGAATGAGAGGGCGGAGTGGTTGAATGATCTGCAGCATTTGTCCTTTACAACGTATTCCTTTTTCTTTTTTTTTTTTTTTTTTTTTTTGAGGCTCAAATCACTCTTCCATCAGCTATCTCTGCCTGTACCAAATCATACAGTGAACAGAAGCCCGCCAAAATGAAGTTCCTCTTTTTAGTAAGCAGTCTGATTTTTTTTATATATGAGTTTGCAAAAAAAGAGAAAAAATGCTGAAGACTATAACTCCACAGCATGTAACTATGACATTTTAAAAAATGCAGCTTGTTTACATGTAACTATGTCATTATGTTGGAAGGTTTCTTTTATGTGGAAAGTTATTTCAGCGAGGCTTCTGGAATTATTTTTAGTCCTTTTGGATAATGAAAGCCTGCAGGACATCTTGAGTTTTGTATCACTTGCAAGTTTTCGACTTAGTGTGCATTATTTGCATTTGAAAAATATAATTTGATCAGTTAACAGGAACATTAACAATTTAATACCATAAACTGTATTCCTTCAGGAGTATCCAAACAGTACCATAAGCATTGATGATATTCCTAGAGCAGGTGGAGAGCAATTGATAATCTCTATAATTCTTTACATTCTGGATGACACCAAAAGTTGTCAGTCCTTAGAAGTTTATGACTCATGAATCAGATGTACTGATTTATTGATCTTAAGATACATTATACTTCATCCATAAAATGTTTTTATATACGTTCGTAGGTGTGTGGGTGCATGGGTGTAGACACTCATATGTGAAATATATAGTTTAGAACTATTATGTGTATGTGGACATATATTTATATGTATGTGTATAAAGGGACAGATGCACAAAATGCCACATATCACCATTTATTTTATTTGTAATTGGAATAAAAATATCAAATTATAGAAAGGCAAGAAATTCACTAAACAAGAACAGTAATTTTTATCTATCATTAGGTTAGTAAGCAAAAAAATAGGAGACTAAACAAAAAGCCCCTTCAGGTGAATTCAGTAAAAGTAACATGTTGCTTTTGGGTAACATTTGCTTTTTTGTGTAATTTTGAGATAGATAGCTATGTATGGGATATCATCAATTTCTTCTCTCTCAGACATCCTGTAAATAATGTGCTATCTTCTGCACTTGTTTTTTCTTGCTAATAGATTGTTCCTTCAAACAATGGAACAAACTTTGCTCTGAGTTACACTGATATAAGTTTGGTACAGTCAGTGAATTTGACATCCAGACAAAATTTGGCTCAAAAAGTATTGTGTGACTATTTTAAGAATAGTTTGTGCTGCACTGAGTATTAATAGTTCCATACTCTGAGCTGTCTATAAAAGTTTTTGTTATTTGAAATATTGGTCTTAAATGTGGAACTGATAACTAACTGTGTGGGAGAGGGGCTCACCGTATTATTATTTCACAACGTGCTGGCTGTGTCCTTCCTAGTAGTTTTTCAACATTCACTGATTTTTCTGTACTCATTTGATCTGTAAAGCAGCTCTCATCCTTGCTAACCCTGTCACCACTTCTCTAATCTGTCCACCCTGACCTTCCACCTTGAAGTAAATAAGAGCTTAGGCAGGCATAGTGCTGTAAGCCGATAGTGCCACCAGCTTCAATTGAATGAAAGGAAAGGAAATTGTTCCATATGCATTTGCTGTTGATTAGTGTCTTGGCTTACTGTTACAGAGAAAGCCTGCTAGACACCTTTGGGTCCTGCATGTGCATGGGAAATACCACTTTAACTTGTTCTTTGTATCTGAGGTAAGACTATAGGAAAAACAGGAAAGAAACCCAGTCCAAGGAAATGTAAGACTGTTTCTAAAAATAGCCTGGTTTTGTTTGTCAACAGTGAATATCAGATGGAACTCTGTCTACTAGATTTGTTTAGGAATAAAGTTTGCATAGATACATTTTAAATAACTTATTTTAGTTTGCCATCTATTTATGTAATATGATCTGGTGACTGTCATTTTAAGTAGTAAAAATGTTGCTGAACTGTTTCAAAAGGGGGAAAAACTGCAGATGGCACTTTATCTTGATGGCTTAACAAATTACTCCATCTTGCACGCCATATACTGTAAAATAATATTGATTAGCAATATACAAAGGCATTCAGATATAGACAATATTCGGAGCTAAACCTTGTTTAATCCAGCAGAATTGATTATATCATAATAGTTAGTTTAAGCCGTATAATCAGCTTTAATCTTTGAGCTATGATCCCAGCTCTTCTTAAGGTGCTAGAATTCTGAACAGCATCAAGTTAAATAAATACAAAGAAAATGAAGATCAGATAGAATGATGTCCAGCTTTTCTACCTCAGTTGCTTTGAATCAGAGCCAAATAATGGATTAAATGGCCAGGACATTAGCTTAGTATTACATAACATATTGTGGGAATCTATCAATTTGGCTGTGAGAGCAACAGCTTAAAATGAAGAAGAAAACTCCAGTTTGTTGTAAAATTGCTAAATTTTGACAAATGAATAAATTATTTTAAGTAAACAGAATGGAGGTAAAAGTAATAATGCACTGATCATTTTTAATTCAATACTTTTGAGATTGTGTGTTTTTTTTAACTGTTTACAAATACTCTTGTCATACTCAGCTGATAATTATGGTAAATCTTAAGGGCAATAAGAGACAAAATGAATATTCATATTAATTGTATTGTTAGTTTTAACATAATTTGGGTATGAACTTTTCAAACAGTTTTTTCTTTTGTTGTTTAAGTAATATTTTGCAAACCTTTAAAATTATTCCTGAAGTGTATGGCATTTTGTGGCAATATATGGAATATTTGCTGTGTACTGTCATGTATTTATAAATTTTATTTAACAGTTTCTAATTGTTTAATGCACTCGTTTTTATAAATTGAAGAGGACTAAGATGTGGGCTTATTATCAGAAATGTAAAAATACGAATTCAAAACATTCTTTATTTAGCAACTGTTCTTATTATTCCATTCTTCAGAGATGAAATACATTGTGCAAATATTCTCAAATGGAAAAAATTCTCATTAGCTAGTTACATGCCTGCGGTACAGGTAGTTTAGAACATACTTTGAAATGTCATGAGCTAAAGAAGTACTTCTTTTTCTCTTACGGTATTTTAAGTAGTACTTGAATTAACTGTATGTTTTTTAAAGAATGAGATTAAAGGATTTAGATTTAAACTAGCTGACATTTCTCATATATCAAATAGCACTTTAATAATTGTCCATCTCATTTGCATAATGAGAGGCGTTATCACCTTTGCTGTCAAAACATAAGATTGTTTTCTCTTCAGGAATGAATTAGCTGGTCTACTTAGCATACACAGGTACAGAAAGGTTCATTAAATCTCATATTTAGGTAATTTTTCATATTAGCACTATGAATGATATTTTAAAAATAGAGATACCTAAATCCCTCAAAATTACGGAAACGTATTTCAGTCATCTCCATCGTTTCTTGAAAGATCTGTACGGTCATTTATAATTATAAAAATAAACTTTCAGGTCACTTCTATTAATATTGATTAATTGACTTTTATAACTGCAAAATAATTTGCTTGTACACTAGATCATAAATTAGGGCACTTGGTAAACTCTCTGTAATAACTTTTACTTATTTAGCTTTTTTAAAAATTAGTTTTATAGTAACAGTTGATTTCTTTGTGTACCTAACAGGAACGGATGCAGGGGTCTGTGAACTGAGTAGTGCAAGTGCTGAAGAGGGAGAATTGTTTTGAGGAAACGGGAAAGAGGAAGAAAAGAGAAGGAAAAAATACATAATTTCAGGGAAGAGAGAGAGAAGAAAAACGGGGACTATGGGGAGAAAAAAGATTCAGATCACAAGGATTATGGATGAACGTAACAGACAGGTGAGTAGCAAAAAATACTGTATGTATTGGAGCTTCATGTTATAGTATATTGCTGGAGTGATATACGCAAGGTATTGGTAATAAAGAAGATAAAGATTTTGAAAATATTTTATCTTGTGTTTGTTACACAACACATGAATAAATGAATATGTAGTGTGCTTTTGGAAACATCAAGATGTCTGACTTGTAAGTTTATTAATATGTTACAGTTAGGGGTTTGTTGGCATAGGCCCTGATCCTGCAAAGACTTATGTGCTTACTTAACTGTACACACACTAGAAACAATCCCACTGTCTACCATGCACAATGCATAAAGTTAACATGACTGCAGGTGTTTGCAGGACTTGGGCCATACTACCTAATCCTGCAAACCCTTACACAAGTGAATAACTTTATTTGAATGAGGAGTCCCACTGAGCTCTGTGAAATGCCTCACATTTGTAAAATGATTCATTTCTGTGTATTTTGGCACAACCGGTTTCACATCTATGATACAGGAAAGTGCTTGTGCATATGTTGAAGTCTTTGCTACTTAGGTGTTAAACAAGGATTTTGAAAGGAGTCGGCATAATGCTGTTTAATAATTAGGACCTCATAATGCTGGCATGTTTCATGCACCGTAAAACAAAGAGTCTATACTGATATTGGCAGGAAATAGATCTGCCAGGGTCAGTAATCTAACTTTGTTTTTAAATATTCATGACAGTCTGGTAGCAAATATTAACAGCAGTAAATCTGCTGGTTGAATGTGATCATCAGCCTAAATAAATGCTCCTCTATTTTAAGAAAGATAAGTGTCACTATTCAGGGTCTTCAATTAAAACCTGTCAATGTATATCTGAGATATTGTACTAACATTTGAAGTACACAAATACAAAAATAAGATATATAATATTACCAAACAGTATGACTAGTTACCCATTAATAGTATGGCTACAATTTAGGATTATCCTACTGTAATTATTTTCTATACATCAAAAAGCATTTAGAATTCAGTTAATATTAATATACTAATTGCATGTATTTGATTATTTTCTTTTATATGCAAATGTGTTTTAAAGAAAATTATGTTGTCGTTAGGGCTTAAGGTCTCAAGCAACCCACTTCAGGAATAATCTATAATTTTAGTTTTCAAGTGTGTCTTCCCATTGAATTTATAAGTGCTGTAGTGTGAGCATGCCTTGTGCTCTTCATAGCAGAAAATCAAGTTTAAAAAGCAAACAATGCTAGGATTTATGATGGATACA